CCCCAAAACCCCAAAACCCCAAAACCCCAAAACCCCAAAACCCCTGTTTGTAACTTAATTCCAGAAATTTTTAAATATAAGAAAATGGAAAAACATGAAGGCGAAGCGAAAGATGAGAACAAAGAGAAGCTTAAGAAGAAGCTTTCACCTGAAGAAGCTCTGGCTAGGATCCAGATGGAGAAAATTGAAGAGGAAAGACTCAACCAAGTCTTTCATGTAATTTCAAGCAAGAGTAAGCTAGATATTGAGTCTAACAGCAAATTTGGGAGTTATGAACTGATTATTGACATCACTAAGCTTCTACACTATATTACCACAGCTTTATGATGTTGGCATGAGAATGAAGCGTGTCGTCCTAATTCATCATGATACTGTGCATGAGAAAATCTCACTGTGAAAGTCTTATGCCACCAGTTGTTATACATGTTATTAAGGATTTTAACTTACACTTTATAGGCAAGAAACCTTCGAAGAAGAAGAAAAAGAAGGATGAGAAAGATGAGGAAGATGACGAGGACAAAATGATCACTCCTGCTGATCTGAGTAAGAACAGGATTTCAATTTTGTAGTTTTGCTAATGAATGATATGATGAAGAAAATAAACCAAAGGATTGAAGAGACCAAGAATGAGTGTAGACCAGGAGAAAAGCAATGGAAGCAAGGGGCTACAGGAGGAGGGTAAGTATTTAGAGAAATTCTGAGCATTTAGGAAAGATTTTGATTCTAAAGAGGATGTCTTTAAAAAGAATCAGGTTCAAACTCCTATAAAGTACAAACTCAGTAAATCAGATGCTGAGCTCATGGTCTGGGAAGTTGACGATGATGCTGATGGAAAGGTCAGTAAAGAAGAGTTTATCAAGATGTACAAAAGATGCAAGGATGATAAAAATGGGTTAGAGCCTCGTAAATTATTCAACCTTGCTTATTTTCTGATGTTCAAGCCTGAATACACTGGTTTTGTGACTGAAGAGGATACTCTTGAACTTCTCTTTGTCCGTTACTCAAGAGCCCATCTTGATGATGAAATCAATGCAATATTTGGAGATGAGAGATCCCCAATTGGCAATGATGATTTCGTTGAACGAGAAATCTCTTTCCCAGAATACATCAAGAAAGTCAATGAGAGAGCAATGAAGGAAAGGAAAGAAAGAAAAGAAGCCAAGAAAAAGAGAGATGATGAACTAATGCAGTAGGTTAAATAGATGTTTCTCTGAGACCTGATAAATTATGTGAATCAAAATTCAAATCTAGAATTCCAGGTTCTCAATAGGAATATTTTTAGTAGGGGTTTTGGGGTTTTGGGGTTTTGGGG